TAACTGAACCTATAACAGGATTCTCAGTTGCTTGTATATATAATATAAAACAAATAAATAAAAGAAGAAGAAATATTGTTAACCAGATGTAAGTATTCCCCTCCCAAAAAAAAAATCTGTATTTTTTAAGTTTCCAATCAACTTAACTCTAGAGCACCTCATACCCCCACAACGAGTATTGTTGTAAAACTCAACATACTTAAATCATACATTTCTTTCTTTAAGAGGGAAAAAAATCAAATAACAGATGAAGTCCACTAAATGGGTAATCAACCTGCAGATGGACCTAACATGGCAAATATTTGTTACAGCAGACAAAACCAAGGGTCATCAAAAAACATATAGATTGCTAGAAGAAAAAGGTGATTTGAAAACATTACAAAGTTAGTCACAGACTTTACTCTGAATTGGAAACATGGTTTTGTAATTAATAAATAACATAGTCCTATAGCAACACATAACAACTCAAAATACTTGGATTAAAAAGAATAATTCAAGTAGATATAGCAGGCAGCAATTTGGACCAAATATTCATTATTAAATTTTCATATGATTCAACATTACACCACTGCAAAACAGATTTCTGTCAAATCCAATAATTGATCAAAAGTTTAAGAACATGACAAACAGCTCACATTACAAAACCTTACCATCAAGTTAGGAAAATAATTTAGTGAATCAATAGAAGCCAGATCCTCAATGTTATTACCTCCTGGACAATGTGACGAGAAAAGAACTAATTATAAACACTTAATAGGACTGCAACCAACCAATTTCCAGAGTGGTATGCCCTCTTCCAATGCAACCAACCAATTTAATTGATCATTGGAAGAGGGCTTCAGAATATACCAGTCTTGAAAATCAGAATATACCAGTCCCGAAAATCAGTTCCAAAATCAGTCCAAAAATTAGAATATATCAGACCCGAAAATCACAATATCAGTCCGAAAAATCAGAATATCAGTCCGAAAAATCAGAATATCAGTCCGAAAAATCAGAATATCAGTCCGAAAAATCAGAATATCAGTCCGAAAAATCAGAATATCAGTCCGAATCAATGTTGTGTTGTGTTTTGCAATACCGAACAAGAGAATGAAATTGATGATAAAGAAGAAAGAGAGGCAGATGAGACAGTGAGAGAGTGAGAGTGAGAGGGAGAAGGAGAGGGAGAGGGAGAGGAAGAAGATGGAGAGAAGACATACCTCTTTGTCTTCCATTGTGCCGCTTCAGGTTGTGGAATGAGAAGACGAAGGAGACTCATTTTAGGTCAATCTTGTTTATTCACCTTAAAGGTCATTTAAAAAAAAAGAAAAAAAAAGACAAATTCAAAACGACGTCGTTTTGATAAGATATTTATTGGCGACGAAAATAATTATGCTGCCATAAATATTACTTATCTTTCAGCAACTATTTTAATTCTGTCGCCAAAAAGTCACAATTGGCGACAAACAGTTTCGTCGCCATATATTAATTTCGTCGCCAAAACTTTTTTAGCGCTCCCGCGCACAAAATTAAATTGGCGCCAACCATTTTTGGCGACCAATTGAGATATTTGTTGCTAATAGTGTATTTTTTGGCGACCAACACATATATTGTCGCCAAAAACATACAATTGGCAACTAAATTCAATTTGGTTGCTAAAAAACGTCGCCAAAAATGATTTTTGTTGTAGTGATAAATATATTTTAATTAACAATTCTAGTGATTTTATTGTTGTAGAATAATGTTATATGTACTAATTAATGTACATACTAATGTACTAACAAATGATGTGGTATCATTTGTATGGTTTTGGGTATTTGTAAGTGGTATAATAAATGTGGTCAATAATAATATCATAGCACTAGTTGGTACATTGTGTACACTAATTGGTGCATATAGCACCACCGATTGTTTTATAGGAGAGTAATTATGAGTTTTATTTTTTTGTTAAGTTTGTTAATTTGTTACACATCTAATGATATAAAACCCAACTCCCCCATTACATGGTTGGAAAATATTTGAGACTTCCAAAAGCTCACACAATTCATTTATAATTATGTGGTATGATATGTATCATTTTTTGATTTATTTTACACCCAATGACGTAGACTATAATTCTATGATTATATCATTTTTTGTGAATTTACGAGTTTTTAACATTTCTTCTGATTTTATAAATAAAATAAAAAATTATGGTGTGTAACTTTTCTCAAAAGATAAATATAAAACAAATACTAAAATAATTTTTTCATCTAAAAAAATTATTAAGATAATTCACTGAACTAATAAAGAAACAGAAGAAAATACACATTTTATTGATAAGTAAATCATTAAGTAAATTAACAATTTTTAATGATTTGAAAAATATTTTTAAGTTAACCATTTTGTTAATAAACAAAGCATTAAGTCAATTAACAGTTTTTAATGATATGAGAAATATTTTCTAATAAATAAATTTGATAATTTATTATTGTATAGACGAATAATTATTTTTTTCCTAATTATTGTGTTAAATTAAAATTTATAACAAATGATAGTTGTAATTTATAATGTTATAAGACCAATTTATATTTTAAACAAACCTTATGGGTGTATTTGTAATTTGATAAAAAATAAAATATTTATATTTCATAATTGACCAAGAATATTTGCATAATTAAGAAAAAAATCCTTCACTCAATATATAGATCACTATTAGTAAATTATTTAAAATAAAAGGAAAAAATAAGAAAAAAAAAGACAAATCATAAGCAGGATAGAGTCATTTATATATATAAGTATTTGAAAGTTCTTTATATATTATATCATACAAAATTAGGATAAATTACATTGATTACTCTTGTAGTTTACAAAAAATATAAGGGGTTAATTACGCCAAGTTTCATTTAATTATTAGTGAATATTATTTTACTTACTCATTTACGAATCTATACATATTGATTATTTTAACTATAAAAATATATAACTTCCATTCCTGCAGACCCTTATAGACCACTTTAAAAAAGAATATTTTTATATGATTTTTATAGTTGAGAGGTCAAAATGTACATGGTCAAAGATGTGAGAGTAAGTGATATGAGTTAATAGTTGGCGTAAATATCCAAAATATAGTAAGCGCTATAAATTTAATATAATTACACTAACCTCTTTTTTCGTTAGGTTAAAATGACAAAAAAATAATGAAAATAAGGTAAAATATATATTTTAGTTAAATAATAATATCTATATAATTAATCAATTATTGATGCAAAAATAGACTAAATATTATACAAATTACAATCTTAAGAGAGCTTGATGTATTTTTTTCAAACCGCAATGGAGGTTAGTGTAATTTACACAATTTTTGTGTAGTTTTTCATTCATCCTTTTATTTGAAAATAGAATAGATCCTTAAAAAATTGTATTTAAAATAATAACTCCAAATTTTTGTAATTTTGTGGAGGTGTAAGTCAGACCAAGTCAAAATTATGTCCAATGCCACAGTTTTCACTTATATGGAACACAGTCTTGTTTACACTTTTCATAAAAAGTACAATTATTTTGAGTTATTCTTATTTTAATGTATTTTTTTTTAGATCATATTAGAAGTGAGTAGCAGATATTTCAATCCATCTAAACCGGCCGAACCGAACCAATATGTCATATTTTGGACGAATGTGTGATGACGAACGGACGGTTGCGAATTGATTTTTTCTAATCCGCCTAGTTTTGGACGGATGACGGATTTGAGGTTCCTTTGACCGCAACCGAACCACCAAACCGCGAACACCCCTAATACACTACAACAAAACTAACTATTTACGGCTTCAACTTTACGACATACATTAAGTGCATGTCGTAAGTAATACATTCTACGTCATTTTTTTTTTAAAAGCCGTTAATGGTTTTTCAATAACGACATATATACCATATATGTCGTTAATTCATATATTTATGACATACATAATTATGCTGTAAAAAATATATATTTTTACGACTTAAAAAATATGTCCTAAAATATTTGCACTTAGGGCGACATAGATTTCATATTGTAAAATATTATAACTTTGCACGGCATGCATTAACATGTCATGAAAACTTCTTAAAAAAAAAAAAAATAATATGATTTTTTTATGGCATGCAAAAGTATGTCGTAAAAAATGTATATTTTCACGGCATAAAAATATGTCGTAAAATATTTGCACTTAAGACGACATACATTTTATGTTGTAAAATATTATAACTTTATACGGCGTACATTAGCATGTCGTGAAAACTTTTATTAAAAAAAATTTCAATCCGATTATTCGCTTTTAATTTTAAAAAGCTAACAATTTCAATCAAGCTTCTCACATTAAATTTTCCTAATTGAGGGCAATGTAAAAAATAATTTATATATTATTTTATAATTTAGTGTATTCTTTTAAGGGATAATTGCACCCAGTGGGATTTTAGGAAAAAAAAAATTACATGTTCATGAAAAAGTTTATAATTTTAATTATTAATATTTATATTGCTTCTCACTGATTTGTAATTATTTTTTAAAAAAATTATCTTGATTTGATATTTTCCCTTCTTTTAATAATTAATTTTTTTTTGACTTTTAAAATGTGCCTAATATGAATAAAAAGTAAAATATTTGTAAAAAAAATACAATGAAATATAATATATATGAAAATATATTAAATTTTATATTTCTTTGAATTTAGTGATTTTTTTGGAAAATTAAGGCTCCGTTTGGTAGAGCTTTGTAACTATGATTTGAGAATATGAGTTGTATTTTGAGTTTGTGTGTTTTAGAATTATGATTTGAGTGTAGCAAATTTGTTTGGTTATGGTTTTTGAATAAAGTGTTGAATTGAGTGTGGAATTGAGTTTTGAATTGAGTCTTTTAATAATTAATTTTTTTTTTACTTTTAAAATGTACCTAATATGAATAAAAAGTAAAATATTTATAAAAAAAATACAATGAAATATAATATATATGAAAATATATTAAATTTTATATTTCTTTGAATTTAGTGATTTTTTTGGAAAATTAAAAGAATTTAGTGATTCAACCTCTCTACAATCTCCTCCCTGATTTAACGTCGACCTAGAAGCTGAAGAAGAAGAAGAGGATGTTAAGAATGGAGATACAGTCGAAGAGGTCAAGGTCGAGGTCTCTGTATTGTATACCCACTCTATTTAGGCACATTGATAGTTAGTTAGTCTCCTCTCTCATATACAACAAACACAACAAATCGATTATTTAGACAGTGCTCCATCTTCGTTTCTGTCGGCGATTGGGTCTCTCTCGCTCTAGATTCAGGTTCATTCTTTCTCTTAGCGATCCTTGCTCTCTCTCTCTCGATCTTTCCCCCATTGAAGACACTTGCGAAGTCTCGACCTTCGTATTCTCAAGGTAATTTCTATATCTATTCTCTCTTCTTCGTTGATTGAAATTTTGGAAATCGAAACCCTAGTTTCGAGTTTTTCTATGATTAGAGCTTAAATCATGTATACTTGATGTGAGAGTTGTTTTTCTTGTTCTTACTCATCATGAATTTTGTTTTTCTCTGATTTGATCCTGATTTATGGTGATTTTCTCAGATTTGCTCGTTATCTCTGATCAGAACATTCCTAAGATTCGCAAGGTCACAATGTTAACCACAAAGCAATGCAGGTTCTCATCAAACTACATAAGATCATACTCCCTTTATCTAGACTCTGAAATTGCAAGTTTCCTTAGGCAGCTTGAAAGGTTTAATTAATGGTTGGATGACTTGGTTGCAGATGGAATTGGGACGAATGAGAGAATAGAGATCTTATGGAAGAAGTTATATGGATTTCTATTAGAGCATGTTTAGTCCATCTTTGTTGTTAGTAATTATGGCTGTGTTTATCTTTGAATTTTGATATACAAATTACCTCTTTCTGGCAGCATTGTCACAGTACTTATTATTTATTTCTTTTGCATCTCAGTTTATATTTCATATTGCATATCATGTCCATGAGTTAGGAGTTGGGGATTTTTCATTGGAAATTATGAGTATGAAACATTATTTCTTTAGAGATGTTATGTAATGCATATTATGTGTGTATAGTGAATATGAATCTGCCTTCTATACATATTTAGTGCTTGTAAAACTCAAATAAAGTGAAACCATGAAGGGTAACGGGTGAAATTAGTTACAGTGATTTGGTCTTTAATTCAAAATTTGAAAGAAATGATTTATTGAGTCCATTCCAAGCTTCTGATAAATTAGGTTCTTACTTCAACAAATGGCATGCCCTAGTGAGGCACTAACTCCTCTTTTTCTTGGCTACACTGGTGATCCTTGGTGAGGAGTTAGTGCATCTCACTAGGGCATGCCATTCGTTGTTCTCCCTCAGTTTTTTGTTTTCTTATGAGGCATTTTTTTGTGTTTCCTAGCTTCTTGGTTGGTGAAGGTGCACGTATGTGGGCAAAATCCAAGGGTATTCCTTTGCTGGCAAGTATACTGGATGTTGATGAGGTAAACACTCCTAGTTTTTTGTCATATCTGTCTAAATTTCCATTTCCCTATATATCAATATTTTTTCTTGAATATTTTGGTTTTAAATTTCTTTAGTAATCTGTTCTTTATTCTGGAATTAGTAATCATACTTGTTGTGCATCATTTGGAAACAGTGGCTAGTTACAGAGAGGGCAAAAAGATAGTGGAATTGATGGAGAACTTTCCTCTAGCACTCAAGAGAATGCTGCTGTATCAGGTACTCCATGCCATTTACATATATCATCTCTTCTACTCTAAAATTGTTAGACATAAGCGATTAATGGGATTAACAAGTTCTAGAGAAGTAATTGTGTTATAGTCTTTTATATATCATAATGTGGATTGTTCAAACAAAGTAAATAGGTTGAAGCTAATAAAATTAAATGTTTAGCTTATAGGTCAAAATTTATGAATACCTGAACACCTTTTTTTTTTATTTTTTTAAGTGAGATAGAAGGGGGAAAAAAAAATGAATCGAGGACAAAAAATGGTAATTATAGGGAATGCTTGGTTATATTTCAGAGTATTGATTGGATCATATCAGACTCTATTACTTCATTGTTTTATGGATATCTATAAGGACAAAACAACAGTCTTCATGTAGAAGAAGAAATGCAAGAAAACAAAAAAAAAATCAATTTATTCCATGTAGCTTGACATTGGTGTTTTGCTGGACATTAGCATTAGTATGATCAATAATGCCTATGACCCAGATAACCCAGTAATTGAACAGCAAAGGGTATGCATGATTTTAAAATTTCTCTAACGTAGTCGAGGGGCCTTTTTAACTAATCATTTTTCTAAACCAAAAAATTCTGCAGGTTGCTACTGTTCAAGGTCTTTTAGGAACTGGTTCTCTTCGACTTGTTGTCTCATTGAAAGATATCTCCCTAGGGCAAAAGTTGTAATATCATCCCCAACTTGGGGTGAGTATTGTCAGTCTAATTGGTAAAATTTGTCTTAAGGTCTAATAATTTAGAATAAAGATCAATTTTCTAGGTAACCACAAGAATATTTTCAATGATGCTAGAGTTCCTTGGTCTGAATACCGCTACTATGATCCAAAAACAGTTGGTTTGGATTTTGATGGGATGATATCTGATATAAAGGTATTTTCGATACTATCATTTATTTCTTTCAACTGGTAACGTAAAACTACATTCATTCCTTTCTGTCGGGGCTGGTTACTGTTACTACTTGCTGTTGCATGTTGTTATGAATCAAAGCTTTGGGTTTTGGGGCTTGTTCCTGCTCTGCCTTTTCACAAAAACATGGCTTATGCTAGTTTAACATTTCATCACCAAAATATGGCATCTAGTCATAGGATTTGCTTTCACTTTGAATCAGGGCAGAGGTTTTGCTGGTTACAGTTGCTGTCATGACTTAATGTTCATGCATTATTTTCAGTGGATTATGTGGTTCAATGATAGAAGTGATGTGCATAGTATTTCAGGTTTTTTTACAACTAAATTAACAGTTGAGTTGTTTCAATTATGCCTTATCCAAATAGCTACAATATCATATTCTAACTTTTGGCTACCCTAAATTGGATCTAACCAACCATCCAACTAATGGAGGATATAACTAATGTCATATCCTATGACTAGTTAGAAGGAGAAAAATAAAATTCGGCACACCCACACACCATCTAATGGTCAGAAATGGTTGGCCCTATAGCTTATCCCACTATTTACCTCATCCTAACTTAAACATTGAATAATATATATTCCTATCAAAGAAATTTAATCTTAGAATTATCATATATTATTTTAAGGATTAGTTATCCCTCTATTCTTATTCAGATTAAATAAACACTCTAAAGAAGATAAATATAACAAAGAAAATGCCAATACCAACCCTTTGGCTTGTAAATAACAATAAAAAATGTATAAATAATGTGTATATTGAAATTCTAACTTTGTTGGCCTTTTCTTCTTCTAAAAGCAAGACCCAATGGGCGTAGACATTGATTTTTCTGTGCAAACTTTCCCATGCTTTCAGCATTATTGAGAGAATAAACTATGGCACTTCTTTATCAGTCTCAGCTTTGAAAATGATTTCAGGCCAGAATGGTTACAAAGGTAATTAAGATTACAAGGAAATGATACTAACTGATTCTCTGTCACCATTTCATGAACAACTATTCTTTCTCTTCACCTCTAATGATATGTCATACATTTTTGCACCCAAATCTTTTCCTTCTAGTTTTGAAATCTCTCTATTTTTTTCCAAGTAGTTCAAGTAGCTCCAATCCAAGTAAGTCTATAAATGGTGGAGATATGGTGGTCTCAAAATGGCTTCTTGTTGTGTTATCTGCAGCAAGTGAAGATGGTGATGATGATGATAATAATTCAGTGACTGAGACTTGAGATGTTGACACCATGGTGTCTAATAAACAAGAAAGCTGATTATTACAACTAAGTGATGAGTGTTGCATTGCCAACAGCTGTGAAGAATGGTGATCATAATCATCACTGGGCACTATTTGGATCCCAAAACTTGGACAATTCTTTCATAGTGTAGATCATGTGATTTAAAACTCTGGATAAATGCATAATTAGATGGCAAAAATTTGCCATCTTTCATAGTGTACATCATGTTGATAAATGAAACTTATGATTTGGATTCTTTTTTTGATTTGTATCTTTGAGGTTGTTATCAGCTTGATATGATAGACGTTGAGGATGAAAATTAGTATGCAGGTTGTTTGGTGTATGAATATTAGAATTTTTGCTTACTTCATAGTTGTTGCTTCTGCTTGGTTTGTTAACAGGTTACATTTTATAAGCTACTATCTACGTACTGTTAGGCAAGGTTATATTCCTGTATATATATTATATATTAAAAATAACTTTTTACGGCATATAAAACTATGTCATGAAGAGTGTAATGATTTATAACATGCAACAAAATGCCGTAAAAGATTATATACGACATACAAAGTATGTCATAAATATATTAAAAATTACATTCTATGGCATACAAAATTATGTTGTGAAAAGTGTGATGATTTATGACATGCAAGAAAATATTGTAAAATATCATATACGGCATACAAAATATGTCATAAATATATTAAAAATAACCTTCTACGGCATGCAAATGCCATAGAAAGTATGATGATTTATGGCATGACAAAAATGTCGTAAAAAATTATATACGACATTTTTACTTTTTACTACTTTACCTATATACCATAAATGATACTCAATTTTTCACGGCATGTCATATAACGACATTTGTGTATATGCCGTTAAAAAGCTTTTACGGCATGCATTGCAAGTCATAAAAATTCAATTTTGTTGTAGTGGTTATGTGTAAGATTTTATATTTTCAATTTGTTTAGATATTCTGTTTGTATTTTATTCTATTGTGTTTTCAATTTAAAAATCCTTTTATTAAATGACAAGTGTTGATATTTGGTATTTTTATGTGAAAAATATAAGGTTTAATTTTATCATTTAAAAAAAATCAAATTAAATAGTTTTTGAATAAAAAAAGTAATGAAATAGTTTTGATAATACATGATTTTTTTATACAAATTTATTATTGGTATTTGACAATTTACTTGATAATCTTTTGGTTAGGTTGAGTTGGATTGTTATAAAAAAAAATGTTGACAAGTTATATTATGTTCAAAATTTGTAAAAGTTTAAACTGCCAAACCAATTCGCGTCAATCCGTTCAATCCGCATCCGTTAATCCGGTGGGTGGATGTATATTATTTTTTTCAATTTGCCAATCCGGCAGACGGGTGACGGATTAGAGATTTTTTGGCCACAATCGAACTGCGAACAACCCTAGATCCTACATATACATAGTATTTGTTGTATAAATACACAAAAAATAAAAATAAAACAATGAAATACATCCGGTGACAATTATATCACTTTTAAGACAATGAATATACATATGGTATTTAATTGTATAAAAGCATGAAAAAATAAAATAAAAAATAATAATAAAATGCATTGATAAAATGTAATTTTTCTAAACCGTAGTTATTGTAATAAACGTCTATAAAAAAAAAATACGTATTAATTTCTGTAGAAACAGAAGAGTATTTTAGTGATCTTTTAATTTTGAAAATAAATAAATAAATGATCATGCATCCAAGGATAATATTGTAATATCAATATATTGTCAAAATATAAGTTTTCTCAATTCAAAATTTAATTGGCAGCTATCTTTCTGGGGAGTTAATATGTCCATATCCAATGTTCTAGGTAGATGAATTCTATAACTCTAATTATCCAACTTGTGTTTGATTAAGGGAAAAAATATATATGTGTGAAACTTGTGAGATAATGGGTCTAGCTATGTTGTTCCCTAAGATGAAGACGATAGCTTTTGAATAATTTTCACTCATAAATTATAATAATGTTTCTATTATTGGTTCTCTCTATGATTTTATTTTATATGTAGTTGGCGAGCCAGGTTGTCATGTGACCATTATGGTGTTTGATTAACATCAAAAGAATTGTCATTCTATTTGTTAAAAGTTTATTTAATAACTGTTCGTTACGTTTAAACAAAGTAAAACTATATTTATTTAAGTCTGCAAATAAAGTTTTAATAGTTTATTATTAGGGAGATTTGGTGATAGATTTAATTTGTCTTTCAAAAAGACAATAATTATATAAGTATTTTTAAGATCCACTAATATTTTAAAACTTGTTTCTTTTACTATATTACCCTCATATCTATTAGCCCTCTTATTAAGCCATCCTCATAGTGTATTTCAAAGTAAACTTTACTTTGATTCAAAGTAAAATTTTACTCTAAAAGTATAATTTTACTCTGAATTAGAGTAAAGTACAATTTTACTCTGAATTAGAGTAACGTTTATTCTGGATCAGAATAAAATTTTATATCGTTGAGCAAATTAACATGTTTTTAACTAGAGTAAAATTTTACTGTTACAAAAAATAAAATACGTACTAAATGAACAAACCAGAGTTAAATTTTACTCTTAGATCTATTAACAAATAATAATAAAAAAAAACAATTACAAACAACAATCAATCTCTCTTTCTCTCTCTCTCTTTGAACAGGACTTTACTAAACTCGAAGTTCTTCTTTGATTCATTGTTCTTGCTTTTACTGCTACAAATTAAAAAATCGATATTTGTGTTTCTTTTGGTACTCCCTCAAATTACCAGAAGTACACACTTCGGTAATGAAATTCAATGTGTTACGTTCTTCGTTTTTCTATACACTGTACAGAGCGATGGTGTTTTTATTCTTAAGAGTTCTAGCCCAATTGGATATGGTTCAGATCTCATTGAATCGGAGATAGTTCAGACCTCGTCAAAGACTTACGTGCCTCTGTCCACAGTTCTAGATCTTCATCAACAATCTGTCATCTCTCTACTTCGGCATTGTTGAAACGGTGTTGCTCAAGTTCTGAGAGAGCCCAAAAACTACATCTATGATCATCAATGGCATCGAAATGAAGAAGAGAGAGAGAGGGAGGTGACGGGGGCGATACCGGAATCGGATCTCCTTTAGGACAGTAGGGAGGCGAGCAACGACGAGAGTAGAAGAATGGGAGGCTAGCGGCGGAAGTGGTGGTGGATCAACTCTCTCTACTTCGGCATTGTTGAAACGGTGTTGCTCAAGTTCTGAGAGAGCCCAAAAACTACATCTATGATCATCAATGGCATCGAAATGAAGAAGAGAGAGAGAGGGAGGTGACGGGGGCGATACCGGAATCGGATCTCCTTTAGGACAGTAGGGAGGCGAGCAACGAAGAGAGTAGAAGAATGGGAGGCCAGCGGCGGAAGTGGTGGTGGATCAACCGTGAAAGAATGAGGGGAGATTTACTCTGAAACCCTAGCCATGGCGTCATCGTCTATGTATAAGTAATAGTTGTATTAGACGAAACTTGAGAGATTGAGATGGTGATTAGGAAAGATTTAGTTGAGGGTATAATAGTTTGATAAAATATTTAAATAATAAATTTTGTCCTTTATACAAGACTTTATAATTATAAGGGGGTTTTAAAAGTATAATTTTTTTCTTGGTCCTTTTAACAATAAAAAGAAGGTAAGAAGGGTTTATAGTCAAATTTCCCTTATTATTATGCTCCACTTATTTGTTTATACTTTGTTTGGGAATAAGTTATTTTAGTAATTTTTTGATTTTTTACGAAAAGATATACAAAAAAATAAAAAAAATGATGTAACAACTTATAGTTACTTTTTGACTAAAACAAAAGATTACTAAACGAGACATGAATATAAGAATTATAGTAGTTGGAAGGCATATGGTCCAACCTAAGTCCATGTGAACCAATCCTGTACTGGGCATGGGCATGGGCATAGGCATGGGCATGGACATGGTCACGTGTCACGGCCCCATTCCGCCCCTAGTAGAATGGTGTCATGATGGCCAGTAATTCGTGATTACCGAAGGCCAACTTTCAAAAATCCACACACAATCAGAGTATACATGTGGGGCTTACAAATGTGGAAGCAATAAATTTCAAGCTAAGCAGTCCATAAGAGCTGTGCATAAGTCAATGGAATGGCATACAACTTTACATAGCTTTACAACTTGAATACAAATAGAAATGAAGTACAAAAATACATACTACATCTTGGTAAGAGGCTTCTCAAGGCGGCATGAATAAAGTACATGAAATACAAGTCAAGAAACATAATCTTCAGGATTACCGACATAATTATTGCCGACATAACAAGCATCCAAAACATCTTGCAAAACACACATCTTGGCGTAGCCAACTTCTTGCTTGTTACCTATATACATACATAGGGAGGGTGAGCTTGGATACTCAGTGAATGGTACCAGTAATAAAGGGGTTAAATGAATGATACCCGAGATCTTTGCAAAACATACATAGTATATCTTTGTCAAAACCATACATAACATAACTTAGCTTGGCTTGAAATAAAACATCAATCGAACCTTGGTCTTTCAAAACTTACTTACTTAACATACGTCAATCTTAAACATGGAGTGATGACATTCCGGCAAAACAAAAGCATAACCTCGGCATCGAGCACACCCGTTCATAGTCCGTCGGTGGCCGATATCTTAACAAGGGTGCTACTTAGGCTTAACGTCCCCTAGCACGAAAGGACGGTGCTACCTAGGCTTAAAGTCCCCTAGCACGAAAGGACTATGCTATATAGGCTTAAAGTCCCCTAGCACGGAAGGACTTGTGCCACAAATGCTTAAAGTCCCCTGGCACGTACGGACTATGTTACCTAGGCTTAACGTCCCCTAACACGAAAGGACGGTTCCAAGAATGTCATCCAAAACAAAGCTTATACTTGATACATAAAATAGGGATATCATTCATGCTTAACAAATACTTTTATCAAAACAAGGCAAAGCTTTATCAAAACCTTATAACATAGCTTTATTTAAAATACCACTCACATAGTTCTTGGGACTTCGGGCTCAAGGCAAGGGTCCAAGTCTTACAAACACATGGCAAAATCTACTGAACATACATCTCGAAACAAGTCTTACATACATGCAAATGATCTCGGAAAATATGCTGGTAGTCAAAACACTGTTTTACATGTCAGGAAGACATGCTGGGTACCAACCAGGTCTTTGCCGAGGTCCCACACCTCCTGGCCGAGGTGTGGCTACTTAGGCTTCGGCGTGCG